AAGGGGCCACCCGAGGGGCCACCCTGAGCCCTTCCCTGAGCTCCCCCTCTTTGGCCAGGCTGTGGTGGCCACTGGGGATGGCCCAGCCCACGTTTTGGTGGCCCTGCAGTAGCCAGGAATGGCCGTGGCACCGCGGGAAGGACCTCGCAGGAGGACGAGGAGGCGCCGAGTCCTTCGTTGTCGCCTTGGCCAGCCCCGAGGTGTCACCACGTCCCCGTGCTGGGTGCGGAGCCGTGGCTGCTGTGGCTCCTCCTGGGTGGTGGTTCCTGCTCCCCCTGCGCTGTCGGAGCTGCCCCGAGCCCCCCAAGGCTCCAGCAGGGAATTTTTAGGCAATAATGAGGCAATAATGGGGTGTGTGGGACAGAGACCCCCCTCAGCTGCAAGGACTCGATTGTCCCCTGCCCTGGCTCTGTGGCGGGGAGAGTGTGACATGTGTGACATGTCTGTGTGTCTGTGTGTGTGTGTGTGTGACACGTGTATGTGCTCTGGTGGGGGACTGTCCCCCCAGACCCTGCAAAGCCCCCCCCCGAGGGTGATGGGACTCTGCTCCAATAAAGCTGTGACTCAGCACCACCTCCTGTGCCCCTTCCCAAACATCCCTAAACCTATTCCCCATTTTCCCCCAGAACCTCACTCTCCATTTCCCCCAAACAGCCCCAAACCCCATCCCCATTTCCCCCAAACACCTCAAAACCCCATTTCTCCCAAACCCACTCCCCATTTTCCCCCAAACACCCCAAAATCCCACTCTCCATTTTCCCCCAAACACCTCAAAACCCCATTTCCCCCCCGTACCCCACTCCCCACCACAGCCAGAACACAGAAGCAGCAGCAGCAGCCGGGTTTATTTCATTTCTGCTCTCAGCACCCCCAGAGCAGCACCCAGCCCCGCAGCACCCCCATGCCCGGCCAGCACATCCCGAGGCTCCCCGTTTGCCCCTCCCAGCCCCCCCATTCCCAAACCCAGGTTTCCCGTGCCCTAGCTCCGGACGGGCACGGTGGCACGGAGCCTCTGCAGGACGCGGCCCCGCAGCCCCTCGTCCCGCACGGGCCACCAGCGCAGCGCGGGGTCGCGGGACTCGGGGGGCTGCTCCCGCTGGCTGTCCGGGGGGACGCTCAGCAGCACGTTGAAGCAGATGCCATCGGTGTCCCCAGAGCCCCCAGGGCTGTGCTGCAGCCCCAGCAGCCCCAGAGCCGCGGGCTGCGGCTCCCAGGCCAGGCGCTCCCGCAGCAGCCGCAGCAGCGGCGGGCGCAGCCCCGCACGCAGCTCGGAGGGGGACGTGCCGCAGGCCACCACGGGCAGGTGCGGGGTGCCGGCGGTGTCCAGCAGCAGCCACAGCTCGCCCGCGGCGTTGGAGAAGGGCAGCAGGAGCCGCAGGCAGAGCGGGGAGCAGGGCAGCTCCCGCGGCAGCGTCGGGGGGTGCGCGGGGCTGCGGCGGTAGCGGGCAGCCAGCTCCAGCACGGGCAGGATGTCCGGAGAGCGCAGCGGCAGCGAGCGGGGGTCCCCGGGCCACCAGGTGGCTTGGAGGGACTCGGAGTCTGCCTCCTCCAGGGTCTTCAGGGTCCCACCTGCGCGAACAGGGGTGGCACGGAGTGGGGGACAGCGGGACAGAGGGGAAGGCTGGGGGG